GTTAAACGAGAGAAAAAACTCAAGCAAAGCAGCGATTTTGGGGAACTTGGGGCCGGCCACTCCAAGCCCCCCGTGGCCACCCCCGCTCTGTCCCCGCGGTGCCGGGGGGAGGGGGCGAACCCGGCCCTGCCCCCCCCGCCCCCAGCGCGCCGTTCTTGAGCCTCTGGCGCCCCCTCGGGACGGAGCCGCGCAGCGCCCGCGGCCCCGGAGCGCTCCGCTCCGCGCGTCCGGGCATCACCCGCGGGAGCACCGCGGGACACGGCCAGGATCACCCGCGGGGATCATTATTCGGGGGGATCACCCGCGGGGGATGCGCGGGGCTGCGTGCTCCAGCGCTCAGCAGCGGCGGGCGGACGGGCGGGCGCTGTCGCAGTCCCCGCAGTCCCCACTGTTCCCACTGTCCCTGTCGCTGTCCCCGCTGTCCCCACTATCCCCGCTGTTGCAGTCCCTGCTGTCCCCCCTCTCCCCACTGTCGCAGTCCCCGCAGTCCCCGCTGTCCCTGTCGCTGTCTCTGCCCCTGTTCCCCCTGTCCCCGCTGTCCCTGTTCCCCTTGTCCCCGCTGTCCCTGTCGCTGTCCCTGTCCCCCTGTCCCCAATGTCGCTGTCGCTGATTCCCGCAATCCCCGCAGTCCCCTCTGTCACTGTCCCTGTCCCTGTCGCTGTCCCTGTCCCTGTCCCTGTCCCTGTCCCTGTCCCCGTCCCTTTCCCCGTCCCTGTCGCTGTCCCTGTCCCTGTCCCTGTCCCCGTCCCTTTCCCCGTCCCTGTCGCTGTCCCTGTCCCTGTCGCTGTCCCCTCTGTCGCTGTCCCCGCTGTCCCTATCCCTGTCCCTATCCCTGTCCCTGTCGCTGTCCCCTCTGTCGCTGTCGCCGCTGCCCCGCCCCGTCCCCTGGCCCCGCCCCCGGGCGCGGCTCAGCCAATAGGAACGCGCGGGCCCCCGCGGGCGGCGCTGTGATTGGCGGGCTGCGGGCGGGCGCGCGGCCCCGCGCGGGGTATTAGTGCGCGCGTCGCGGAGCGGCCGCAGAGCCGCGCTGGAGACCGGCGGGGCCACCGCGCCCGACACAGCCCCGGCCGCCCGCTCGCCTTCCTCCTCTTCCTTCAGCTCCTTCTCCCGGCCTCGCAAAAGTTTCTCTCCCCTTCCTTATCTCGGAGATTTTTTGGTTTTCTTTTTTTTTTTTTTTTTTTTTTTTTTTTTTTTTTTTTTTTTTTTTTTTGCGCTGACGAGGACGGGGAGAAGTAATAAAAAGTTTTTGCAAACTTTTCGCGGCTCTTCTTTTTTTCTCCGCGATCGGTGGAGACTTCGTTTCTCTGAGTTTTACTTTTTTAACGCGTCCCTGTCCCTTAGCGCCTGATTTTTCAATTTTTTATTTTTTTTTTTATTTTTTTTTTCGCCCCCTTGTTCCCCCTCGGCCACTTTCTCGCATGAATCTCCTCGACCCTTTCATGAAAATGACAGAAGAACAGGACAAATGTATCTCCGACGCCCCCAGCCCCACCATGTCGGATGACTCCGCCGGGTCCCCCTGCCCCTCTGGATCCGGCTCGGACACGGAGAACACCCGACCCCAAGAGAACACCTTCCCCAAGGGGGACCCGGACCTGAAGAAGGAGAACGACGAGGACAAGTTCCCGGTGTGCATCCGGGAGGCGGTGAGCCAGGTGCTCAAGGGCTACGACTGGACCCTGGTGCCGATGCCGGTGCGGGTGAACGGCTCCAGCAAGAACAAACCGCACGTCAAGAGACCCATGAACGCCTTCATGGTGTGGGCGCAGGCGGCTCGCAGGAAGCTGGCGGAYCAGTACCCGCATCTGCACAACGCCGAGCTCAGCAAGACCCTGGGCAAGCTCTGGCGGTGAGTGCGGGGCCGGGACGCCGCGGGGACCGGCCCGTGYGGAGCCCGCGCTCCGAGCATGGAACACTCGCGCTGAAAAAGTTTTGCGTGCGCAAAACTCGCTCGGCGGAGGAGACGCCGGAATTAGGAGGGGGAAAGCGGGGARAGCCGTTCCCTGTGGCCGCCTGCTGGTCTCGGTTTCTGTTCCCGGGGCGGGGGGACAGCGCSGGGGCTGGCGGAGCCCCCCGGGGGTGCAGCGGGGGCTGTCCCGGCCGTTTGTTTGCGCTGCCGGTGCGGAGGAAATGATGGATTTTGGGGATTGCATCAGCCCGGGCCGGCCGGGAGTGCGGGGCGGCGGGTGGCGGCGGTGAGTGGCGCAGGGCCGGGTGGCCTCCGAGTGCCAAAATAAGGCAGGGAGGGGAGGAAAACAGAAGGCAAGTGAGGCACCTGGCCGCCGCGTCCTCGGTGACTGCGCGACGGGGCGGGGGGGACCCTGGAGMGGTGGCAGGAGGAGAAACGGGTGAGGAAAGGTGGCCCAGCGGTGGGGATGTCCCCAAAGAGCCCGGGGACAGGGAGATGTGCCCACAGGGCGAGGGCTGGACCCCGCGGCGACTGCGGCAACTCCGGTCTGGCCACTGAAGGAATCTGGGCGGGACAATGGGGTGACAACCAGCGAGTGCCCCAGACAAGGGGTGCAGCATTATGGGGGCCCTTGGGGGGATCCGAGGGAGAGATTGGGATCGGTGTCACTGCTCAGTGCCCCCCGTGAGCCACAATGACCCCCTCGTGTCCCCCCAGGCTGCTGAACGAGAGCGAGAAGCGTCCGTTCGTGGAGGAGGCCGAGCGGCTGCGGGTGCAGCACAAGAAGGACCACCCCGACTACAAGTACCAGCCCCGGCGGAGGAAGTCGGTGAAGAACGGGCAGGCGGAGCAGGAGGAGGGCTCCGAGCAGACCCACATCTCCCCCAACGCCATCTTCAAAGCGCTGCAGGCGGACTCGCCCCAGTCCTCCTCCAGCATCAGCGAGGTGCACTCGCCCGGGGAGCACTCGGGTAGGTATCCAGGGACCCTACAGGGGTTATGGGGCGTGGCACMGCTGCCTAAAGCTGGGCTGAAATGGGGGCTGGGTAAGGGGAGGGAAAGGACAGACCCAGAATTGGAGTGAGRAGAGGGAGAGCTGCCCACGAGCTGTGCCCATGGCACGGGCACACAAATCAATCCTCACCCCAATGTGCCGCGGCAGCCACTCCCCGTTCTCTGCCAGTGAGAAACATGAACCCGCGCTTCTAAAAACCAAAAAACCACCCCAAAGACATCGCCCTTGCTAAGATTCACGTCTGAGGGTGCAGCGGGGTGGTGCTGATGGGGCTCTGCTCTGCGTCCCTCCCACCTGGACACGTGCATGACCCACAGAGCGCGAGTGACCCATCCACAGCACCATCCCCCCGGCTGTCACAGCACCACCCCCGTCACACCTTCACCCCTTTCCTTCCTTCCTCCCCCAGGGCAATCACAGGGTCCCCCCACACCGCCCACCACCCCCAAGACGGACCCGCAGCCGGGCAAGCAGGACCTGAAGCGCGAGGGCCGCKCGCTGGGCGAGGGCGGCCGGCAGCCGCCGCACATCGACTTCCGCGACGTGGACATCGGCGAGCTGAGCAGCGACGTCATCTCCAACATCGAGACCTTCGACGTCAACGAGTTCGACCAGTACCTGCCGCCCAACGGGCACCCCGGCGGCGCGGCCGCGCACGGCCAGCCCGGCCCCGTCACCTACACCGGCACCTACGGCATCAGCGGCGCCGCGGGCGCTCCTCCGGCCGCCGGCCACGTGTGGATGTCCAAGCAGCCGGCACAGCCGCCAGCACAGCCCCAAAACACCGGGCTGCCGGCGCTGAGTGCGGAGCAGAACCCGCAGCAGCAACMGCAGGCACAGCAGCAGCAGCAGCAGCAGCAGCAGAGGACGCACATCAAGACGGAGCAGCTGAGCCCCAGCCACTACAGCGAGCAGCAGCAGCACTCGCCGCAGCAGCTGAGCTACAGCTCGTTCAGCCTGCAGCACTACAGCTCGTCCTACCCCAGCATCAGCCGCRCTCAGTACGAGTACGGAGAGCACCAGGGCTCGGGCTCCTACTACAGCCACGCCGCCGGSCAGGGCAGCGGGCTCTACTCCACCTTCAGCTACATGAACCCCTCGCAGCGCCCCATGTACACCCCCATCGCAGACACGGCCGGGGTGCCCTCCATCCCCCAGACCCACAGCCCGCAGCACTGGGAGCAGCCCGTCTACACGCAGCTCACCCGGCCCTAAGAGCGGCCAGAGAGAGAGAGAGAGAGGGAGGAAAAAAAGAGGAGAGAAAGAATTTGAAAAAAAAAAAAAAAATTAAAAAAAAAATTGAAGAAAAAATAAAGAAAATTAGAAAAGCGTGAAAGCAGCAAGAACGGAGAGTTTCCTCGGACTGGTTCCTTGTTTGAAGTTGAAATGATGATTCAAAAGACACTCACGTGGAAGCTGGCGGGGAGGGGAGAGCGCCTCGAGCCTTCTGCACTACAGCATCCTCCAGGACCCGCCCCGAACCCCAAAATTTGGGACAGACTTGCCAAGGACTGGACTCGAACTCTGCTTCTTCCAGCRTGGAGAGGAGATTTCCACCCAGCCCGCCCAGCTGGCTCCTTCTCTGGACTTCTGTAATGATTTTTTTTTTTTTTTTAGCAGTAATTAAAAGAAAGACAAAAAAAGAAAAAAAAGGAAAAAAAAATGGGGGGTAAGAGAGAAAACTCAGAGTCCTCTGTGAGGAATATTCTCTATTTTAAATATTTTTAGTATGTACTGTGTATGATTCGTTACCAATTCGAGGGGATTTATACCTATTTTTTAGAGAGGGTTTTTTTTAAATGCTCTTATTTTTCCAACAGCTAAAAAAATGACACTTAGTGGAGCAGCCCTAGGTTTTCTTGCAGAGGTATTTTTGTATAGAGAAGTGTCTTTTTTTGCTCTAAAAATGAAACTAAACCAGCGTGCTCTGCCCTGGGAACCCAGCTCTGCCCCTGGGCAGCACCGGGGCAGGGACCAGCATGGGAGAGGCTTTATTTTTCTAACTCGTAGCAAAACCAGCCAGGAGGAGAACTTCACTTTATTTTTTAATAACCTTGAGCCTTAAAAGAAAAACAAAAAGAGGAAGAAAAAAAAGAAAAAAAAAAGAAGAAAGAAATCTGAGTGAGCAGCCCCAGAGCGCTGCAGAGAAAAGCCTTAAAGCAGCCCCGTGATAATCATTGGCCCTGGGCTGGGGGGCTGAGCCCGACCCCTCCGGGCACCCCCCAACCCATCCCAGGGTGCCAAACCCCCCTCTCTGCCTGGGGGAGACATCACAGACCCTTTTTAAATTATTTATTTGGGGAGAAGAGCAGCTTTTAATCACGATTTTGCTTTGTTTTGTTGCTGTTGTTTGAATCTCCCTTCTCAGTCCTTTCAGAGGCATCGCATTAGTGGGAGCATTATTTGGAAGGTAACCGTGCCTGTTAAATTATGGTCTGAAACTGTAACCAGTCCTTTATTTATCTCTTTAATTCCTTTTGGTTGTTGTTATTATTATTATTATTATTCTTTTTGGAATCTGTGTCCTGGGTTTGTACAAACTTTGTGCTCTTCCTTTTTTTTTTTT